CATTCCTGCAGCTCTTACTATCTTTCTTCTAAGGAAAATATTATTCCCAAAATGGATTACATTTCTTCTCAGGTAAAGATGTTATGTCCCAGGAATTGATCAAACTTTTCTGCCAATCCCAAAGGGTTGTCTAAAAAACCCTTCATCTCCCTCTTAAAATTTCTGACTTCACTTGAGGTCAAGGGGGTATTGACGAACCCAATGACTCTTTGTGCTCCCCTCAGGGGTACTTCCCTTAGTGGAAAAAGGGCAGCCTCCCCTCTGTTGGACTCCCCATCACTTCCCAACCATTGGACTCTAACTCCCTTCCTCCGTGTTTGCTGAGAGGTTTCTCTCCTGCCTCCTTCATTCTGCGTAGGAGGTCCCTGATCCCCAGATGATGCCCCTGGCTCAGGGTTATATAGTGGTGGTAGGTGATCTCATGGTTCCCAATGTTCAGACTTCTCTATCTCTTCTTTCTGTACTTTTTCTAATTTAAGGATACTAGCCTTTACTCCTAGTTCCCCTTTCCAACATGTTGCATACTCACTTTCTTCCTGACTCCAAGGCTCCTTGGCATTTACATAAATATTAAGGACATATCCACCTCTCAAACAACCCAAACTGTGGCCAGTATAAATGATCTGGTCTAATTTCTTCCTTGGTCCACTCAATCATACACTAATGCATCATTTTTGCTTTATCTTTTCCTTTAGTACATGAACTATACTTCCAAATTGATAACATTAGCCCCAGAGGACCGTCTGGGGGTTTATCCTTGGGTACCCTTCTGCTACCTTTTTTCCTGGGGCTTGACGGTTTACCTGATCCTTGTCCCGTATTCCAAGGATTGGCTCCCACCCCAATTCTCAAGGTCCACTTGTCAAATCCATCTCTCACTTCACGCATTCACCCTCTAATTCCCTTGTGGGAGGATAGAAAAGCAGTTAAAAGGGCTCCACACTCACTTCACAGCTCGGGACTGTCCCGGCCACGAATCATACACATAGAGCCACTGACGTCTTCCCACCGAACTGAACAATACTCACAGTCCGTTTCTTGTTTGGGTCGCTGTGCGCACAGAATCACAGGCCATAAAGGGAGCTGTTTCCTTGCCTTTGCCACAAAAATTAGTTTCTTTTGTTGTCTGCTCTCCCACATCCCACAAATTCCCATGGGCTGTTGAAATCAGCGGGGCATCCCAAAACACAAAGGAGGACCCTTCAGAGGAGGACTATCATGTCAGGGTCACCAGATTGTGAGAAACGAGCACTCTCTTTCATTTATTTATTTTTTTAATAAAATTATTTGATTTGGGGAGCAAAGACAAACAGCTCTGGGTGCATGGCAATCTGCCAGACATGCTTTATATACTCCAATTATTGAATCAGCCTAATACATATTCATAACTTCTCACAAACTCCTTTACAGTTTCTTAAACTGTCCCGTCCTGCTGTGCCTGGGTGTCTGCGTGAGCATTACTTTGTGGCAGTCTCCAGGGGGTTTTTGGGGGGGGGGTTGTCTCACCACCCCTGGCTCCAGAGTCTGCACAGTCCAGTTCTCAGTGGTCCCCCACGGCTTTCCTGGGCAGCCTAACACTTATTCGTCCAATCGGCGTGGAGGTTCCATACATTGTTTTTTGCTTAGAAACTGCATAGTTAATTAACAGTTCTTCTGTGAAATCCCCCAGATCCTCAAGATTTCCTGCTCTCACTCCTACCTCAGGAAACTTGGGCTCATTGTGGTTAGTTCTTTTTTATTATTTGGCTGTTTTGTTTTCATTGTATTCTCCTATGTGCAGATCTTCAGGGCTGTGCTGAGGATCCCCTCTGAGCAGGGACAGAGCAAAGCCTTTTCCACCTGCCTTCCTCACCCGATTGTGGTCTTGCTGTTTGTCAGCACTGGCATGTTTGCCTACCTGAAGCCTCCCTCAATCTCCTCCCCAACCCTGGACCTGGCACTGTCAGTTCTGTACTCAGTGGTGCCTCCAGTGCTGAATCTTCTCACCTACAGCCTGAGGAACCAGGCTGCAGTGTGGACACTGATATCTTGATAATTTCCAGAAGCAATGAACTGCTGCCAGTTTCCATGTATCATTTGTAATATAACTCAACTTTGATAGTTCTTGTTGGATTTAGTTGTGGGTTTGGAGGGGGGGGTATTTTTTTTTTAGTATTTTCCACATTAAACAATGTCATTATTTGTGCCATTTCTCATTTTGTTTCTGTGCATGTTCATTGTGACACACGGACTGTGTGAATGAGGAGCTTTGCTGTCTCTGTGTTTAAACAAAATAAAGGATCTTACAGCAACTTGTTCACCTGTGATCCCACTTCTGTCACATCCCCTGGAGCCTCAGCAGCAATGTCTGTGTGCAGAGCTGGAGGCAAATCAGTTATGGCTCAGCAGCTCTGCCAAGGAGCAGCAGCACTTGGTCTTCCCAGTGCTGTTCTTTCCCCCTTCCTGGTGTCCTTAGCCCTTGTGTTGCTGTAAGGCCAGAGAGTTCCTGAGACTCAGTCCCAGCCCTGTGCTGTGGCTGCAGCAGAGACAGGCAATGAGCACTTCTGGGGCCAAGCTGATGTCCTCAGGGCAGTGTCTCCAGGCTCAAGGCTTGTTGCTATGTGTCTCTCCACACCAGGACCAGGGAAATGCTCACTAGAGAAAGCCCCAGTAAACAGTTCCAGGCTGGCCATGGGCAGGATAGGGGCAAACAGCATTGCTCAAGCCCTGCAAGGTACCTGGGAGGTACCAAGGAGCAGCAGAGCAGAGACTGATCCATACCCATGTGCACTGGACACCCCAGGGCAGTGTCCTAGAGTGATCACCATGGATCTGCCAGTAACATCTACTCTTTCCAGCCCTGGCCTCTCACCCCAGCTCAGAGAGAAGTTTTATCCTTCCATGATGAGACATGGCTGGACTGGCTCAGCTGTCCCTGCTTGCATTGTATGGATGAGACATAACCACACACATGGTGTTGGTGTGGTGAGATGAACCTGAGTGAGCATAAATACCAATAGCCCTCCTGAGGATGCCATGAAGGACTGTGGGACAAACAGTGTCTTGGGGTCACTTTGCATTGTCAGCTATGTCTGACACAGTACAGGGCTGAGGAATGATGTCACTGCAGTGCCTCATAGTGCCCAGCAGACACTGGGACACTGAAGTGCCCTCAGTGTGCCAAGGGACCATTGTGACGCTGCAGGGACTCATGGGGCCCAGGGGCACATGTAGCATGGCAGGGCTTCATGGAACAGAAAGGACCCTGGTCTTTGTGTCCCCTGCTCAACACACTGAGGAGCAGCTGAGTTTTCCTACTCTTTTGCTGGGGTCTCTGTCAATGTCTCCTCAGCAAATTGAGGAGCAGCTGCATTTGCCTTGTCTTGTGCCAAGGTCTTGATCTGGGTCGCCTGCTTGACCAAGAGAGAAGGCAAATTTGTCTCCTCTTGTGCTGTGGGTGCAAGGAGTGTGCATTGCCTCTCTCCCTGGGGATAACCTGGCTGGGCTGATTGGTTCTCTGCTGCTGCCCCCACTGGCTGTTTGGTAGGGCCAGGAGCTTCCAGCCCCTCCAGCACCTCCTCCTGAATGGCCCTGGCATCAGTCAAGGGCTTCCCTTGTGGCTGAATGGAGAACAGGGGATTTGCAGAGGTCTGCTGGCTCCCTCCACCCAGTGCCTGCCAGGGACTGCCAGCAGTGTCTGCTGGGACAGGGATGCGGGAGATGATGGCTTTGCCATGGATGCGGCACAGAGGGAGACACATTTTCCTGTCGCCTCCCATTCCCTCATGTCCATCCATTCCTGAAAGTCCCTGGCTTGCTTTGGTGCTGGTGGA